TACCTCGCAAACAAACAGCTACCAAAGAATAATGTGAATATTTTAAAAATCGATAACGTATATCAATGATAACATGGTATGTAGTTCACTCGTGGTATTTCTTTAGCGAACACGGCACATACCATTCCTGTAGTGACGTGGCAGTGTGCATTCGTTAGTTCCAGTACAGTATAATTATATATTGTACGTAGACGGTCTGAACCAACACCCCTCACCCCAACACAATCAAGAGATTGTCATCGTTTGTTTTATCATAAAATTTTCATTTATTTTACTTCGGTAACTTTTTATTTACCATTTGTTTTTCAATTTTGTAACTTATTAATCACAGGAAATCAGTTTGTTTCTTAATTGCCGTGACACATGTGGATTGAAGATTGTTACTTTAAACCAAATCATCCTCCGGTCCACTTAAAAAAAAGACGAGTGTTGCTCGGGGAGATTTGATAGCTAAATGTTCAGTTTTGGCGTCGTTGGTAAGTTCACAATGCGGAGCAAGTCATATTCTCGGGATGTTATCATATCATATAACGGATTATACATGATAAGGCTTTTATAGATCGTATGACAGTTTTAATCTTTGAGTAAATAATCTAATCAAGATCCGCGTATTTTGGTCGTTATCCGGAATGGTCATCACTTGTCACATGTCCTCTTTGGCCACATGTCTTTGGGATATTGCGTGTATGTTTAGATACAGTGCAGGATATGTTCTTACAATAAAAATAAGATAAAGTCAGTTGTAACCCACAAACAAGTCTAATAGTGTGTCATTGCTCAATTCTATAGTATAAGCATGAGATACTAGCAAGCGAACGAGCAACCAAAGACAATAGGATACAAATATTTACTACACTACGAGGACTGATAACTAGTTTTCAGCTGTAGTCATTTCACATTTTAGTCCAAATAAACGGAACCTTTGTTCGCCCCCTGTGCCGCCGCCACTGCAAGGAATGGCTGTATGGATATACGGTGTTAGCGTATGGGTACTTTGCCAAGTTAAAGTCAGGGATTTGTCAATTTCACACTGTTTTCTATCAATTGTTAATTTTTCTATCTAAACTGAAATTTTAACTTCTTTTTTAAGTTCATTTATTTAATTTTCGGTGCATCTCTTCAAAAAAAATGCTGTTAACTTCTTTATAATTGTACATATTGTACAACGCCACTAATATGTGCTGATCATACAAGCGATACTGTGTGTAGTTTAGAAATATCCTCTTCATATCTACATGGTTACAAGTACTAAGTGAAAAAAGAGGTGAAAGTGACTCCTACACCTGTATTTCAACCTTGTTTATAACGACTCTATGGAGTCAATTGTAATAAAATACTGAATTGATGCAATTCAGCTGGACTCAGACGTCACGTCGTCAACGTAACCATAGTACATTCGCATGTTTGAAGGGGTATGAAAATTTTCGAAAATGCGCCACATTCGTCTTTTATATGGGTCCCATATACAATGCGTGTAAAATACATTGTTTATATGAACTTGTAACGCGCGCTGCGTGGCGACTGTTTAAAGAAGACCCAAACATTGAACCAATCATAATAGCATATTTACACGTCGTTGCTTTGTGACTGCCTGCCTTTAAAACAAAGCGTTAATACAAACAGCTAATAACAATAACAATAAAAAGAATTACACAAAATAATTATGATTACAATTTTTCTGGTGTTTTATTCTATAATTTTCGACGAACATATTTTTAACAACTGTTTTAATTGCTTCCCGATACTGATTCAAAGTTTTAATAATGGATTTTTTTACTTAACGATCACATTTAGTTAGGGCAAAGTCTGGGCTTTCATAAGATATATAGGTTGAAATGGTTTAGAACGATTCTTCTGGAAATATAATTAATGTGTATTTTACTCATATTACATGGTTAAGGTAGAGATGCAGTTTATTTTGCAAATTTTGACAAATTTCACTTATTTTTTATATTTTCATGGCATTGTATGAACATCTGTATTCTGTGAAAATTCGAAATTAAATTCATTAGTGGAACTCTGTTAAATCCAATGGCGATGTAAATCATCATATATTTTTACTTAACTATAAAATATGCAAATTAGCAATTATCTCA